GGATTACAGGCTGAGCCACTGAGCCTGGCCTGACTTTTTTTTTTAAGGGGTCAATTTTATAAGACAAAATTATTACACCCTTTAGTATCTTTCTCTTTTTAAAAAAACAGTGTCTCTTTGCTTCAAAGCATCAAAAAATTGTGAAAGGAAGAGGAAAAGTTGTTGGAAGATCCAGCTTCTCATTAGATGATGGCATAACTCTGGTTGAGCCACTGCTCTTTGGTCAACAGGAGTCTCAGAAATTAACTAAGTTTTTGAAGTTCTACACACACACACACACACACACACACACACACACACACACACGGAAGGATGCTGAGAGATGTGAGCAGTTGTGGTTTCCACACCTGGCCATGCATTGTAATCATCATGAATATCAAGGAAGTCAATTTTTAATTCAAAAGGATTTCTAGGTGACTTTAGAAGGAAGGAAGCTCAGAGACTGATTCTCTCACTTTAGAGGTGGAAGGAACCTCAGAGATTGGTCCTCCCACTTTATAGCTGAGGGGACCAAGACTCAGGGGTAAAGTGACTTGTCAGAGGTCACCAGAATCCAGATCTGGGCTGTGTGTGTGTGTGTGTGTGTGTGTGTGTGTGTGTGTGTGTGTGTGTAGTGCCAAAAAATGGATACACAATTTTTAAAAACTTAAAATTGTTATACTCAATATACACTGATAACAAAAGATGTAGACAAGTCATGTTTGACTTTTGCAATTACAAGAGGTGCTCAAGAGGGTTAACCATCAGTGTCCAGACACTTCTATTATGGTGAACATCACTTAAAATGTGTATGCATTTTTTTGGCACCATATATACATATATAGTGCCTATATATGTGTCTGGTTTATTAAAATAGCATGACTTAATATGTAGATTAGGACTATTTTCTTGGGCTCAGCATCATGACACTACATTACAGAGGAAAGCATGAAGAAGGAGCATCACTTTGGGAGAGTGACCTGAAGACATGGAGACTTGAGGGAAAGAATATGGCCTTTTACCCCTCAGTCTCTCATTTCTTTTTTCCCATCTCACCTAATCACAAATAAACCTAAATTCTTTTACTCTTGAATTTTAGACTTATTTCTTCTTAGAAGCACCCTCAGAAAAAACTCTGAAATAAATATTGCTTTATGATTTATTTTCCTATGACAAACAACCCGTATTTTCACATTCTCCCTACTTACCAACTCGTTTTTTGTAAGAAGCCGACCGGATGCACTTTGTGGACCTGCCTGTCTTCCGTACAGACAGGACAAAGCTTGTCTTTGGCAAAGGAAGGGAGTACCCCTTTCATCTCTCCTCCATGAACCCTAGCGGTCAGTTTGGAAGGAGAAAAACCTGGAGTGAGCTTTGGCTATACAATGTGCGGAACAGAGCTTAGAAATCTAAAAGGCAGCATTTAGGAAAACACCAAAACCAAATCTGGGCAAACTACACAAAGCAGCCACGATTGCCAAAGGAATGATAGGCTGAGAGAGAGGATCTAGCTAGGAGGGAGCAGGGTGATAGGAGCCTGGAGAAGCTAGATGAGACCACAGGATTCAAATCATGAAGTGGCAGGTGGGGCCTGGGAGAAAGCTGAGCTCAGATGCTCTTAATGTGGTACCTACGATGGTGAGGGTGTCCATAAAGTGTCTATGTGGCTCATCCTACCCATCCCATCTGTGCTGGTAATTAAGCTATAAACTCTCAGCTCCAAACCCATCCTTCTAAGCTATAAACTCTCAGCTCCAAACCCATCCTTCTGAAATCATCTCTGTGATGCTGGGCGAGGACCCTCCTGACACTTCTTCTTTGCCAGCCATTTCCCTGCTAGACTCAGCCCTCATACCTACCAGGCAGGAGGAGGGAGAGGGACTTCTTCCGGTTTCTGTTAGCCTTGCCTCAGAACAACCCCATCTCGACAGGGAGTTAATTGGACTTTTTTCCCTTCTTTCCTCTGAGGCTCCCTATGTCTCTTGCACAGAAAACTGGGGTCCAGCTCCCTCGTCTAAGCTTTTATGTTCTAATTACCCAACCTCTTCCCTTTGTTTCCCACAACCTAGAATGATGGCTGCTTCCTGCTATTTCCATGACTGTATCATTTCAGTGTCCTCTCTTTGCTTTTTCAGTCCTCCAATGTCTTTTTAATAAATTCCTTGTATTAAATTCTTTCTGTTAAAAATAACTATTGTGACTTCCCTATGTTTCCCTGACTGGATCCTGCCTGATACTGGGCCCTGACTGATTGAAGGGTCCATCCTGTTTAAGGTAGGGAACCCACCCTGTTTTCTACATGCACTGAGTGCCCAGTCTAGCATTGTGCTGGGTGGACTTATTTAATCCTAATAGTTCAGTGGGGTTGATGCTGGATGGGGTGTGGTGTGTTGTTCTGTAAATTCTCTGACTTTGCCACAGAAAAGCACTTCAGAGCGAATTCCAAGTGTAGTTTAAGACGGAGTTTATTAGAAAGAAAGAGACATGCTCAAGAGCATGGGTCCCTTAAAAGAGGACACGTGTTTGCCTTTGGCAAGAAGCTTTACAGTCGTGATTATGCAAACCATGAGCTAAGAGGGTAGGCTTCAGGTTATCTGGTCACAAGTTTTGCTTACCATCTCTCAACCTTCTAAGGTCATAAGGACTTTCTAAATAATTAAAGTTATTGTCTAACTAGATTTGGACTTAGACAACCATGTGTGTGTTTTGGGTAATTCCCTGTTGTTTCTGTGATTTACTGCACTGGTAGATCCACATTGTAGCCCACAAGGCTACCGGCCTGGTGTGCCTGGTCAGTTGGGTGGAGGTCATGTACTGATAAGAAAGCGATCTGAATACTGACCCAATTTCAATTTACACTGTCTAAAAGAAACCTATCTATCCATGCCAACCTGCACTGAATAACCTGCCTCTGTGTTGCTGTTATCCCCCACTTATTTCTGGTAGCTGGAACTCAAAGAAGTTATGTCATTTTCCCAGAGTCCCACAGTACATGCTAGAACCTGATGCAAACCCAGGTTCCTCTGACTCCCAAGTCCTTCTTTCGTATTCCAACTCTCTGCCTGCTGCTCCTGCCTGGGTAACAGCTTCTCTCCTTCTGCTCTCCCATCACTTACTCCACTGTCCTCTGAGTGGGCATGTGGAGGAGAAGAAGTCCTGGGACAGAGGAAAAGAAGAGCCCTGAATACCCATGAAAGATGGATGGAGGGGAGGATGTTGAGGATACAAACATACTGAACTGAGGGGAACCACAGATATACTGCCTGGGGTGAGAATGGTGCACTCAGTAGTGAAAACGGCTAGGCCAGGGAGGGAAGCTCTGGCTGGGAAAGTTGTAGAGGAAAACTCAGATGGGGTGAGCTACTGCTCTGAAGCTGCCACCTTTCCCCTAAGTAGGTTCAGACACTCTGAGAAAGACTAAGTCACGAGGAAAATGGGTTATTTTTAGCACTATCCTAATACCTTGTATTTGCAAATCTTAACAATACATGGAACACTGTATGGTTTAAGGCATGTGTCATCTGACAACACTACTCTATGGGACCATTTATCTTGCTGATATCGTGTCTTTTTTTTTTTTTTTTTTTTTTTTTGATTTGGAGTCTCACTCTGTCGCCCAGGCTGGAGTGCAGTGGCAAACTCACAGTCACCCCAGCGTCAACCCGCTAGGCTCCAGCGATCCTTCCACTTCAGCCTTCCAAGTAGCCGGAACTACAAGTGTGCACTACCACTCCCAGGTAATTTTTGATTTATTGTAGAGACGAGGTCTCGCCAAGTTGCCCAGGTAGGTCTCGAACCCACGGGCTCAAGCAATCCATGCGCCTCGGCCTCCCAAAGTGCTGGGATTATAGGCTGAGCCACCGAGCCCGGTCAATATTCCATGTCTTATAATGATGCTTCCCTTTTCACTTCTACTTCTAGGAAGCTCAGAGTCCAATGGATAGCTTACTTTTTGCAAATAAGTAAAGTTGGTGGCATCCCAGCAAAAAAGAAATTTCTTTACATTATCTGTGATCATTTTATTTCAACATGTTTTATTTTGCATTGTATATGTCTTTGCAAATCTCCTCAAAATCTTTTGGAGAAACTTCCCAGAATATTTCTACTTCCATCCAGATCTTCACCTATACATTCAATTATAACTTTTTCTCTACCTTCTGTTATACGTCCTTTCTGCGGCCGTGTCCCCCTCCACTATGCCTCCAACTCTATCATTATCCACATGAATAACGGTGAGAAGGGGACGGTCTAACTCTTTCTTTGTAGCTGTCCAGTTGTGTGTTTTTAACCCAGATTTGAAGATGAAAGCATAACGATGAGGCTTTTGACATAAAGATGGTTCCCATCTGGTCTTAGAAAACTCCACTGTGTTTCCACAAGAAAGTCCTTCGTTGACAGACATACTAATGGGCCTGTGATATAGAACCCAAAACTTAAAAAGTTCTAACCCATCAAGAAATCCCATTCATCATTTCATTTTTTGGAAAGGATATAAAAAATGAAATGTCAGAGCTATAATGTCAGGACCATTTAAAATGTCAAGTGCTTGTTGTTGCATAGCCTGGCTGTCTGCTGTTCTGATCAAACCTCCAACTGGCATAATAATTACAGATGATACATCGCATTTTCATGCACAACTGGACCCAGATTTATAACAAATCAGACGCAAACCTTCTCACTGCCCAGCCTGGAGTTTTTCTCCTTTTGCCATGCAGCTTCAGATTTTTCCTTTAGAGCAGAACATCATTACTAATTCAAGACAGCAATCGGGGTCAGAAATGAGGAATAAGGGCAGACAAAAAGTTCTCAAATAAACCAGAACTCAGTCATTTATAATATACACATGATGCAACAGACGCATTTGCCACATGCACGTTTAATCCAAGAATGTTAAGCTGTGGAGACATTTTCCAGACAATCCAGTTCTATTTTCAAGATGCAGATGAATTTAAGTGTGCAAGGAAACCTACACACAAGCTCTATTTGGAACTGACAGGTATGGAGACAATCCTTGGGTTGATTCATGATGTTTCAGTCTGCAGAGAGAGTGCTAATGTAGACACAGAAAAGCGACAATGCATCTGTGCAGGACCTTTATGGAAGTCTCTACTGGATTAAAATAAATGCTGTATTCATAAGCTTATGTCAACCAAAATCAAGACCTGAAACCAACAGCATGTACATGGGGAAGATTGTATGTCTTCTCTACTGACATCTTGCGCTCACTGAAAGCTGGGGAAGGTCTCCTCACGGAGACTTCATTTTCACCTTCCCCAGACCAGCTCCGTCAGACGACAAGTAGGAGTGTGTCTCCGTGTCTGGCTGCTTCCCATTGCAGATCACTCTCAGCACATTGGAAAGGTCGAAGCTCTTGTAAACGATCTCCAGGAGATCCTGATCTTTCTCCATGCCATTGATAAATTCCTCTAAAGTCAATTCTCCTGGAAAATAATAAATGAACAATTAACAAGAGGCTTTGTCCATAACACTCACTGGCACATACAACACGTCCATATATTTGTTGTTGTTGTTTATTTTTTGAGTCAGAGTCTCACTCTGTTGCTCAGGCTGGAGTGCAGTGGCATGATCAAGGTTCACCACAGCCTTGATTTCCTGGGTTTAGGCAATCCTTCATCTCAGCTCCCTGAGTAGTGGGGACTACAGGTATGCACCACCATACACGGCTAATTTTCTTTTTTTTTGTAGAGACAAGGTCTTGCTGTGTTGCTCAGGCTGGTCTCAAACTCCTGGGTTCAAGCAATCCTCCTGCCTCGGCCTCCCCAAGTACTGGGATTACAGGTGTGAGCTACCATGCCTGGTCCTCCCTCATATTTTTACTGATACTCTTTTGATATCTTTTCCTCTTTCTCCTCAACCAGACTCTAAGATCTTTGAAGATCTTTACATAAAAGGGCATTTGATGGTGGGGTTGTCAACTAAAATAAATATAATAAATACAATCTATTTATATTTTTAGTTGAGAACACCAGGTAATGCTCCAGATTAAATAAAGGCACATCAACACCTCTCCACAGTATTGGTTTTTGGACCTTTAATATTGAGAATATGACCAAGTCATTCATAGGAGCATGATAGATTATAGATTTTAAGATCAAGAGGAGGTCAGGCTCGGTGGCTCAGCCTATAATCCCAGCACTTTGGGAGACCAAGGCAAGTGGATTGCCTGAGCCTGCAGGTTTGAGATCAACCCGGGTAGCCTGGCAAGACCTTGTCTCCACAATAAGATAAAAAATAGCCGGACGTGGTAGCGCATGCCTATAGTTCTGGCTACTTGGAAGGCTGAGGCCAAAGGATCGCTGGAGCCCAGATGGTCGACGCTGGGTAGCCATGAGCATGCATGTCTCTGCACTCCAGCCTGGGCAAAGGAGTGAGACTCCAACTCAAAAAAAA